TTGCCTTAAGGACGAAAAGAACCTNNCTATAGCCTTATACTATGAATCCCTAAACCCTAAACCCTGAACCCTAAACCCTAAACCCTAAACCATTTAATGGTATATGAACCCTCAACCCTTTTAGGGCTCTTTTCGTCCTTAACGTGTACGACAGGTAGCCTTGGCGCTCGTGTCACAGCTGCGCAGGGCGGCCGACAGGCTCCTGCTGGAAGGGTTGCGGGTAGTAGGGTTTAGGGTTTAGGGTTTAGGGTACTTGAAGGATCATGGGACTTAGTAAGTAGGGTTATGATTAGGGTCACTATACTTATAACCTCAATTAAGGGACTTATAACCTTACTTACTAAGTCCCAAGATCCTCCAAGTATCCAGGGTGAACGAGGGTTTCTGGTCTTGGGCCTGAGGTTCAGACTTCAGGGCTGTAATGTAGGGGCTACTATGTTGGGGGCTCTTCATTATACTTGTAGTATTAATCGGCCCCTAAACCCTAAACCCTAAGCCCCAAAACCCTAAACCCTAAGCCCCAAAACCCTAGTCCAACTAATGCCTTCGGCCCCCCAAATACCGCCCTATCGAAGGATTGACTGCGGCCAGCGGACTCTCTGGACCCCCACACCCGTCAACCCTGACCCCTTGAGCCTTGAACGTCTGACTCTAGTCTCCATTGGTTCAGGGTTTAGGGTTTAGGGTGTAAAGTTCATTGTACCTCTAGTCTCCATTGCAGTTCCTTGTTTTGGTTTAACCAATTAAATGTTAAGCATTTTGTCAGGCATCCCCAAGAAGGAAGTACAATGGAGACTATAGGTAGAACTCTGAACCCCAAACCCGCAAACCGTTCAACCCTGCAACCCTTGAGGACTAAAGCGAAAACCAAGCCATTAAACACCTAGACTTGGGTACTAGGGGTTACCAGTTATAGCAATTGTGGTGAAATCTTTGCAAGAGTACATACATACATGTATGTATCATTACTGGGGGCGTTTGACTCGCAGAGTCCGTAGAGGTATGGCACTACCCAGAGCCCCCATAGTAAGTTCCTTCTTGGGATTACCTTATAGGATTCCAAATATTAACCCCAAAAAGGAACTACTATGGGGCCTATGGGTAAGCCCTATATTACTATATGAACCCTCAAACCCAAAGCAGTTTCTTCTGAGGGTGCCGGCGGCGAGCTTGCTGGCAGCAGCTGGCGCCTGCACCAAGGCGGGTGGTTCACAACTTCTCCGGAGTTCGTGTTTAGGGGGTTTGGGTTTGGGTTCAGGGTTTAGGGTTGAACTCTTCTGCCTTTCTTTCTAAGACATTTTCAGGTGGATAGTTACCGTTATAGGAGCCTTATATAGAAGGTCTATATACTGTATAGCAGCCTTATAGAAGCCCTATATTATACCCTAAACTGCCCACCTGTAGTTCCCTTTAACTCTTTCTGCAGACCGATCTGTCTACCTCTCTGTCTGTCTACCTGTCAGTCTAACTGTCTCTCGATTTATCGATCTCGCTCGCTCTCTCTCTCTCTCTCTCTACCCGACCGTCCGTCCGTGTGTCTGTCTCTCGATCTATCTTTCTCTGTCGACACATGCAAGTTACTAGTCATACATGTATACATATATACATACATATATATATATATACACATATATATACAGTTGCAAATAATTACATCCTATCGTAAACCTGTGAAAATGGTATTTAGAATGGTGTGGGCAAAAAGAGGGTCTGTCTGAGGGTTGCATGGAAGCTGAAGCACGCGCCAAAGAGCAACCACCACTGCGAAAGTGCAAGCGTCACAGCAACAATGACTTCGTACGGTTTTGTTTAATCTAGGGTTCAGGGGAGTAGGGTTTAGGATTTCGGGTTTCGCTATCCTCTTGACTAAGTATCTTTGCGAGCCCGAAGCACACGTGAATCAGCTAAGGCTGGGAAGGAGCGATTCGCAGCTGCCATGTTCCGGCAGGCAACTTCAGCTACCGGCGCCACCGACGCCAGACTACCCTAAACCGAAACCCCATGCTCTAATCCCTAAACCGACAAAACCATGACTTCTAGCTCACGGATCGAACCTTTACAAGCAATCGCTGCATCGTAGAAGCGTAGGTTGTCTCCGTTTACTCATACCTGAACCCTGAAGGAACCTACCCTTTTTAGGGTTCTTTCTTATGATTTCCTTATTGTAAACCCTAAACCCTAAAC